TAATTTATTTAATTTATTTAATTTATTTAATTTATTTAATTTATTTAATTTATTTAATTTATTTAATTTATTTAATTTATTTAATTTATTTAATTAATTTAATTAATTTAATTAATTTAAAGCTTTTTTATTATTATTTATTATTATTTATTATTATTTATTATTATTTATTATTATTTATTATTATTTATTATTATTTATTATTATTTATGATTTATTTTACATATTTTTTTAATTGTTTTAATTATTTTAATTTTAATTGTTTTTTATATTTTTAAATTTTTTTATTTTTTTAATTTTAGTTTTTATTTAATTATTTTCATTTTTTTAATTTTATTTAAATTTTTTAAATTTTTAAATTTTTAAAGTTTTGTTAAATTTTCTTTAAATCTTTTAAAATTTTTTTATATAATTTTTATATTATAATTACTTTAAATAAAGCGTTAAAATTAAAACAAAATTTAATATTTTATTAATTAATATACGTTTTAATTTTTTAATTACTTTATTAATTTTTTATAAATGTAATGGTTTATACGTTTTTTAATTTTTTATTAATTACTTTATTAATTTTTTATAAAAATAATGGTTTATACATTTATTAACTTTTTATTAATTACATTATTAATATTGTATAAATTTAATAATCCGTACATTTATTAATTTTTTATTAATATCACAAGGCTAAAACCAAAAGGTGTCATTATTGAAAGATGATGTTCTGGGGAACCCAGAACATTAAATCACTACAGCAAGGCTTTGTTTATATACACAAGAGGATGAAGGTCCTGACTCAGGTACTGAGTCATGATGTTATTTGGCGGACCGCTAGATAACATCGTGACGCATGTCACGGCCGTGACAATTAATTTTTTATTAATTTTTTATTAATTTTTTATTAATTTTTTATTAATTTTTTATTAATTTTTTATTAATTTTTTATAATAATTTTTTAATTAATATAATATAAAATATTAAACCTTGTTTTAAATTAATTTAATAATAAATTATATATATAAATATTATTTAAAAAAAATTACTTTTTATATGCAAATAAATCACGTATTACCACGTGACTATCTTTACGTAATAACATTTTAATATAATGATTAATTAACATTTTAACAAATATAAAATTTAAAAATTAAATGTTTAAAACATATATATATTATTTTATAATTTTTTTTAAATATTTCATTTTGTTAATTTTATATTAAAATATATAACTTTTACACAAATGGCTTTAATAACGGTGGTTTAACTTAAAATTGTTAATTGTATTTTACTTTAACAATTACTTAATCGTGCATATCGGCTGTTTGATAATATTATACAAAGCCATTCTTTAAACCAAATACAAAATGGTTCGTCTTGTAAATAACCACCCCAGCCATAATAGTATCCTTTTTCCTTGTTGTTTTTCCTTTTCATATTTTTAATTACTGTCGTAACGCATGTCGCGTATCGCTCAAAGCGTACAGCCTCGGAACGTAGTGCAATTCTCATCCCTTGTTCTACTTGGGGGTCCATATGCCATCGGGTAGCCTCAAGATCTTGAGAAGCAAGTCTTTTCAGCTCTTCTGCGAACTGACGTTCTTGAATCATGAGACAAGTCATCATTAACCGCCAAGGCATAGTCACTCTTGATCCCGTTCGCCGTTCGTGTCCCGTGTAAATCTTTGGCAACCCAAACCGGAGTACCGAGTGAAGCAGACAAGGCTGTTTATCTATCTCCGTTTCAACCCTGTTTGCACTCCGATCCAATGTTTTTTCCATCCAAAACCTGTCAAGTGCGTCCATATGCAAGAACTTTCCTCCGACGCGGATTCGCAAGCATCGAACTGGAATTCCCCCCTGTGGCGTGGCAAAGACAACACCGCTTTTGTCAGGCTTTTTGTGTTTGAAGATAGCTTGTGTGTTATCTGGGGAAATGTTCGAGAACGGTATCCATAATACGTACGTTTTGAGATTGGCAAAGTATTGTAAAGGGTGGCCGACTGACTTTATTGCATCAAATCCGCTTACAGGAACAGCGAACTCAATTTTGGTGAAAATGCGGGTTTTAAAAGCTTGCTCGGTAGCTTCCTTGAATCTTCGAGAGACTAAACGACAAGTAAACCAGGCGTTCCGAAAATCCTGGTGTTCCAAGCTCTCTATGATCATAACTTGAAGTTCAAATGGGAGTGTTTCCCACTCTGCTTTCTTGATTGGCTCATGCTTGACTGGGTCGGCGCTGACCTCGTGGTCGGGGTTAGCGTTCTGGGACATGTTTGGGCTTTGTTGGGTAAATCCTGGTGCTGTATCGATGTTGGTGGATCTAGAAATATGATGGTTGGCCTGGAGGAGTTGGGAGGATGATGGGCTTGGTACATGAAAGTTATTCTTTTCAAGACTGTCTGAGGTTTAAATATGCATATCAACGTCGAACTTGTTACACCACCGCTTTATCCTGTTCGGATTGTGGTAGGTAGTTAGGGAGTTTTTGTGTCAGGCGAGAATTTATTCAATGGCGGATTTCATCTCTTTCGACCTGTACCATTACACATTCCCCACATCTACGATACCTGTCCACGAAATGGATACTTAGTCAGTATTAGTAATGAGAATGCTGGAGTAATAAGTGTGAATGAGTGACGACAATTAAACAAAAGCTGCTGGAATATGTAGGGTTAATAAATCAGGTGGCTGGTAATATGCTTTATACCTGTAGTTTATATATAATAAATATATTTATTTAGTTTTTTTAATAAATAGTATAATAATATAATATATATATATTTTATAACTTACGTTTAATTTTAATAAGTTATAAATTTGGAAATTTATAATTTAAATTATATAAATAATTGTTTAATTATTTAATAATTATTGTATTATTTAAACGTATTTAATTTAAGCTGTTATAATTTCCACTGCGTAATTAAATAAAAAACGGTTTTATTTTTTTAAAATCTTTTTTTTAATATATAAAAAAATGGATTATTAAAGTTAATAACGTTGGGGTTATAACAGTAAAAAATCTTTCATTTTTTTATACAATTTTTTTATTATTAATATTAATAAAATTATTTATAAAATATCTTTAAATTAAAATGTTTAATAAATTAATAATAATGTTAAAATTTACTTTATTTTAATAAATATATATTATAATTATATTAAAACTTTTAATATAACATTAAAATTAATAATATAAAATTATAAATATAAAATAAAATTAATATTATTTTAATAATATATTTTAATTATTATTATTAATAAATAAATAATATGATATAATATAATTTTAAAAAAAAGTTATTATAAAAGCCATTATTTTTTAAATATTTAAATAAATAAAACTTTTTATATTTTATTAAAAAACTTAAACAATTATAATAAAAATATTTTTTAAAAAATATTTATTTTAAAAATATAAATTATATATTTAATTTTACATTTATTAAATTATATTTATTAAATTTAAATAAAATATTTTTTATATTTATATTATTAAATTTAAACGTTAATTATTTTAATTTTAAAATTATTATTTTATTTAATTTATTAAAAAAATTTAAAATTATATTAAAAATAATTATTTTTAAATTATTAAATAAAAAATAAGTTAATTATTTTAAATAAATTTTAATTTTATTTATAAATTTTTTAAATTATTATTTAAAAAATTATTTTATAATAAAATAAATTTATAAAATAAAATTTATAAAATTTATTATATTATTAAAAAAAATTTTTTAATTTATTAATAATAATTATAAAAATAAAAAAAGGTAATTTAATTTTAAATAATATTATTTAATTAAATTTAATAAATAAATAGTTAATGTTTAAACAAAAAATGTTAAATTATTTAATAATTTAAAATTATAAAAAGATATTTTTAAAAGAAATAAATAAAATAATTTCGAAAAAAAATTAAAATTTTATGTTAATTAAATTATATAAAAAAAATAAAATTTAATAAAATAAATAAAATAAAATTTATAATTATATTAAATATTATTTAAAAAAAAATCTTAAAAATATAATAATAAATAAAATAATTGTAGTTAAAATTTAAAAAATTTAAAAAAAAAATATAAATTATAAAATAATATTATATTTTAAAATTTAACGTTTAAATAAAATATTATATTATTTAATATTAAAGATTTTATAATTATATTATTATTAAAATTATATTAAATTTAATTTAATTTTAAAAAATTAAACAAAATTTATATTATTAATAAATTTTTTAACGTTTTAAATTTGAAATATAATATATTTTTTATTATTTTTTTTTAAAATTATAATATTATTTTAATTTAAAATAATAATAATTAAATTATTAAAGTTATAATTATTATAAATAATGTTATTAAATTAATATAAAAAAAAAAATAAACGTAAAAAATTAAAAATAAAAATATTAAATATGTTTTTATTAATTATTTTAATAAGTTTAATAATAAATGTAAAAATAGTTTTATATGTATTTATTATATAATTATAAAATATTAAATAATAAATTATAATTTAACAAAATATTTTTAAAAATATTTTAAAAAATATTTTAAAAGTTAATATAATAAATTTAAAAATAAATTTAAAAAATTTAAAATTAATAAAAATAATAATATAATAATTATATTATTTTATTAAAATAATATTAATATTTTAATAATTTTTATTGTTATTATTATATTTATAACGTTTAAGAAATTATTAATTAAATTATTAATTAATTTTTTAAAATTAAATATTTTATTAAAAAATTTTTAAAATTATTTATTTAAGAAATTATAATAAAATATATTTATAATAAAAATATAAAATATATTATTAAAATTTATTAATTTTATAATTATTTTAATATTAAATTTTATTTTTATAAATTTATTAATTAATAATATTTTAATAATAATAAAATTTATAATAATAAATAAATTTAAAATAAAAAAATTAATTATTAAATTAAAAAAAGTTATAATAATTAATAATAACTATAATTAAATAAATTGTTGTAATAAAATTTTATTTATAAATTTACATTTATATAAAAACTTTTATATTTATAATATTAATAAAAAAATTATTATATTTAAATTATAAAATATTATTATTTTTTAAATTATTATTAACAAATAATTTAAAAGAATTAAAATTATAAACGTAATTTATTATTTTAATTTTATTTATAATTTTATTTTAATTTTATAATTTATTTAAAAAAATATTAAATTTTTATTTTAATAAAATTTAACGTATAATGTTAAAAGTAAAAAGATATTTTTAATAATAATTAAAATAAATAGTTTATATATAATTAATTAAAAAAATAATAATTTTAATATAATAAATTTTAAAATAATTTCTTATTTTTATTTTATTTTTAATTTAATTTTAAAAATATAATATAAAAAATTAAATTATTTAAATAATTAAAATTTTAAAAAATTAATAAATATATTTATAAATATTAAATTTTTAAAAAAATATTATTTTTATAAAATTTATATAAAAAATAAAATAAATAAAAAATCTTATATAAATATATTAAAATAAAATATTTATAAATTAAAATTATTATATTTAAATAAAATAAATATATTTATAAATATTATAAACGTTAATAATAATAAAAATTAATTAATTATTATATATAATTATTTATATATAATATAAATTATATTATTAAAAAATCTTAAAAATTAATTATTAATATTTAAAAAATTTTTAAAATAATAAAAAAAATTTAAACGTTATTATTATATTATTATTTTAAATATTTTAAATATATATATAAATAATAAGTTTAAAAAATATTATTAATAAAAAGATATAATTATTTAATATATAATTATAAAATAATTATAATTTAAAAATTTTATTAAAAATATTATAAATAAATTAAAAAATAAAACCAAAATAATATTAATATAAATATATAATAATAATATATTTAATAAATATTAATTTATTATTATATAAATAATAATATATTTAATAAATAAATTATTTTATAATATTTTAAATAAAACCTTTTATAAAATTTAATATAATAACTTTTTAAACTTAATTTATTTAATTATAATTAAAATTAATAATTATTATTTAAAAAATCAAAAGTTAAATATATTTTAAAATAAAATTATAATATATAAAATATTAAAATATAAAAATAATAATATATTGTTAAACGGGTATTAATTAAAATTAATCAAGTGAAATAAAAGCTTAAATTAATTTAAAAAAATAGTTATTTATTGTGTGTATATGTGGTTTTTATAAGCGATAAATAATTTATACTAAAGTTAACCACTTTATTAATTAATTAAAAGTTATTTACAACGTTAGTTATAAACTTTGTTTATGCGATACACCCCCGAATCTTTTAAAATCATTATTTCGAAAAACTTTATACGGTTAATAAAGCTATTTTTTTTATTTTACTACCACTTTTTAACTTAAATGGTGGTTATTTATAATTTTATATATATTTATAAAAAAAATGTATATATTATCCTTTAATTAAAACAACGGTTATAAAAGAATTATATTTAAATAAATGTTTAATTTAATTTAACTCGTGCGTTTATAAGTTATAAATTAACCGTTATTAACTTACTTTTTTTAATAAATTATAATGCCCGTAAAAAATGGGTTAACCGTTATTAACTTACCTTTTTTTTAAAACAAAATGTATATTTTTTAAAAATAAATTAATTGTTATTAATTTATTTTTTTATATAAAGTTAAATATGTTTGTAAAAAATAAGTTAATTATTATTAACTTACTTTTTTTTATAAAGTTAAAAATAAATATGCGAGGCGTAAATAACAAACGTTAAAAATAACTTTATTTTATATTTTTATTTTTAACGTTTTTAAAGTTATATTATTATTAGGTTAAAGTAATAGCTATTTTTTTTATTTAATTATTAATGTAATTTATATTATTTTATAAATTTAAAATATATTTTTATAAATTTATACTTTTTTTAATTAAATATATATTAAAACTATAAATTGTTTATATTGTAAACGGTATATTTAAACTTTTTATAATGTTTTATTAATTAATTATATTTACTTTTTAACTTTTTAAAATATAAATAAATATATTTTAACGCATTTTTTATTCCGGTAATAAATACTTTTAAATTTATTAACGGCGTTATTTTTTAATATAATAAAATTATTAACCATTTCCTGTAATTTTTTAACGTAAGTTATATATAATTTAATATTTTATTTTTAACTATTTAATTGAATTATATTTAAACTTATTTTAAAACTATTTTAATAATTATAATCTCGAAAAATTCTTGTATAAATAATTACTTTTTAACTTTAATTAAATTATAAACTTTAACTTTAATATATACGCGTTTTTATTATTTATACCATATTTTAAAGTTTAATTAAAATTAAACTATTAATATAATTATTTTATATTTTTAATATATATTAATAATAACATTTTTTTTAAATAATGTTAATTTTTTATAAAATAAACAAATAACTTTTTAAATAAATAATAGCTTATTTAATTAATTTATTTCAAATTTTATTATAATAAATTGTAAAATTTTAAAATTAACCGTATAATTAATTTTAATATAATAATTTAAATGTTTAATATAATAGTTACTTTAAACGTAAACCGGGACTTATAACTATTAAACGGGTATTAGTTAAAACCGATTAAATAAAATAAAAGTTTAAATTGATTTAAAGAAATAATTATTTATCGTATATATGTATAACTTTTATAAACGACAAATAACTTACATTAAAGTTAACCACTTTATTAATTAATTAAAAGTTATTTATAACATTAATTATAAACCTCGTTTATGCAACATATATATATTTATAAAATATTATTAATAAATTTTAATAAAATTATTAACGTTAATAATATTATATTTAAAAAAAAATATTTATATATATTTATTAAAAATTTTATAACGTTAAAAAAATATTTAAAATTATTATTATTATTATTTTTATATTTACTAATAAATTAATTAAAATTAATTAAATTTATTTAAAAACTATTTTATATTTACTTTATTTTTATAATAAATTTTATTACGTTTAATTATTACATTTTATACCGTTTAAACTTTAATATATAATTTATAATAAAAAAATCTTATAATATTTTAAATTATAATATATATTTAAAAATTTTTATAAATAAAAAAAAATAACGATTTAATTAATATAAAAACAATTTATTATATAATTTATTTAAATATAATTTTAAATAATAAATAAATATTATATTATTTAATAAATATTAATTAAAAATAAATAAAACTTTTTAATATATTATATATTTAATTAATATAATAATAATAACCGTTAAATTTAAACTTAAATCGTATAAAAAAGTTAAATATAACTTTAAATAATATTAATAATATAAAATTATAAATATTAAATATTAATTATTAATAAATAATTATATATAAATATTATATAAATTATTTATAAAATATAAATTATTATCTAATAAATAATTATATAAAATCAAAAAGAATTTAAATAATAAAATTATTTAATATAAAATTAAATAAATAATTAAAAAATTTAAATAAATCGAAATATTAAATTATATTAATACCTTTATATTAATAATTAAACTTATAAATTATAAAACTATATTTATTATAATAACAATTTTAAATTTAAAATTAAAATAAATAAATATTATTATTATTTTTTTATATAAAAATATAAACAAAAACATTTACGTTAAATAATTCTTTAAATTTAAAAATAATATAAATAAATATTATAAATTTAATAAAATTTTATACAGTTTAAAATAAATTTTACAAATATAATATTAAATATTAATAATATATTTATAAATATTAAAATTTAAAATATTTAATTTAAACGTAAAAATATTTATTAAAAGCTATATTTATATAATAATTTATATAAATAATTTATTTATTATTAAACTTTTTAAAAATAAAATTTATAAAATTAAAGCTAAATTAATTAAAAAATTTAAAATAATTAATTTAAACTTTTATTTATATTATTTAAAAATAATTATTAAAAAAAATTACTTTAATAAAATAATTAAATTTAATTAAAAAATATATTTAAAAAAGATTATTAAAAATTTAAATTAATAAAAATTTAATTTTATTAATATATTTATAAATATTTTAAAAATCTTTAAACCTTTAAATAATTATATAATAATTATTACCAATATTAAATAATATATATAAATTATAAAATATTTTATATATATAATAATAAATATATATTTTAATATTATATATATTATATCATATTTAAATTATTATATAAAAACCTTTATTATAATATATATATTTATAATAAAAAAAATCTTAAAATATTTAAAAAAAACTTTAAACTATAAATTCATATATTAAAATAATTTAAAAAACTTTATAAAATAAATAAATATTAATTATATAAAATATATATAATTTAAAAAATTAATTTTAAAATATATTTTTAATATAAATAATAATATTATTAATTAATTATTAAAAAAATAACCGATAATTATTACTTTTATTTATAAATTTAAATTTAAAAATATAATAAATATTATACAAAAAATAATTTAATTATATTAATTATTAATTAAATTAATTATTAAAAAAATAAAATTATTATTATAATTATATACGGTAATAATTAAAAAATATTAATATTTATTAAAAATTTATAATTTTATATATAAATTAAATATATTAAAATTAACGTTTATTTTATTTATAAAAAATAAATTAATAATAAAATAAATTTTATATATATTTTTATAATTTAATAAATTATTAATAACTTTATTAAACTTTTATTAAAAAACATATTTATTAAATTTAAAAAAATAATAAACTTTCGCTTATAAAACAAATAAAAAATAATAAAAAATAAACACTTTATAACCAATAAAATAACCCACATTAATTATAAAATATATAAATACAAAATATAATTAAAAGTATTAACCATAATTAAACTTAAACTAAAACATACTTTTAAAACATATTATTAAAAGTTTTAAAATTAATACACTTTAAAAACCATATATAATAATAATAAAATACGTTTAAAAATTATATATTTAAACTTTTTATTACCTTAATTATAAAATAAAATTATTTTATAAAAAACATTTTTAATAATTAAAATAAATTTATTAAAATAATAATTAAAATTATATACCTTTAAAATATTAATATATAAAGATTAATTATTATAATTTTAAAAAATTTAAACTTATTTTATTAAAAAGAAATTATTTTTAAAAAACGTAAAAAATTTTATATTATTAATTTAATTAATAATAAATAAATAATAAATTTAAAATAAATTTACTTTAAAACATTTATAACAATTATTAAATAATATATATTAAAGCCATATTTTTTACATATATTAATAAATTATATTTTTTCGTAATAATTTAAACTAAATAAATTAAATAAATTATATATTTAATTTTTTATTATAAAACTTATTTTATAATTTTATAAAATTAACATTTAAAATTAAAAAAAAAAACTTAAATAAAATTATTTAATATATTTAATAAATAATTAATAAATAATAAATAAAAAAATAAATATTAACATATATTTATAATAATTATTATTAATAACGTTATAAAATTAAAAAAATAAATATTAATATAAAATTATAACTTTATAAAAACAATATTAATTAAAACTTATTAAAAATAAATAATATAAAAAAAATAATACTTATTTATAAAATATTTATAAAAATAAAAACATATAAATAAAACTAAAATATAATATAATATTAATATATTAAATAATAAAACAAATTACTATTTTTTACTATTATTAAAAAAAATTAAAAAATAAATATAACTTAAAAACTTATTTTACAAAAACTTTAATAACTTACGTTTTCGCCAATACGTAAAACTAAAACTTTAAAAAAAATATAAAGTTATATAAATTTAATTATTACAAAAAAATCTTAAAAATAAACTATAAATATGGTTTAAATAAAAATACTAAAATATATAAAATTAATAAATTAAATAATTAATAATACGCTTTACATTTATAGTTTATATATAATAAATATGTTTATTTAGTCCTTTTAATAAATAATATAATAATACAATATATACATACTTTATAACCTACGTTTAATTTCAATAAAAGCCAACCATTATTTCACAACTCACCAAGTTAAATTATGTACCACAATTATCATACCTACTATCCATACATAGTCACAGCTTCACTCTTTTCGCTTCATGAATAATCATGACTGTCATTTTCTTATGAGTTAGCACTTGGCTTTTATTGGTACCTCTGGACCACTGAGAAGTCACGTACAGTTATTTCTAGAAAATAAAATATCTATGTTAATACACAACTCTAGTCAATAATATCTAGATACTATATTTAGTGTCAAGTCTTAGTTTTATAACTCTTCTTGCTGGACTTTATATTTGGGAGTGTCTTGTGCCGCACAACTCCAGCACTTCGCCTTAGCAGCATTCCACAGTTTGGATCGTACTGGGCTTTTCGTGACCGTGGGCAGATGATGCTATTTTAAATCACACCCTTGGAATTGGAAAACGAAACCGGCGAACTGTCAGGCGCAATTTCATCTTCAATCCACGCTTGGAGCTGCGCGAATAGTGAGTCTGGTTGGCCGGGACCGCCCAAGCAGTGTCCGAGATTTCAAAATAGCGAAAGAAATCCTCTACGTTGTTAACTTTTCTGAAAACTTCTTGGTAGTATCGCTCGGTACCTTTGGGTGGTATGATAATGTCGGCCTGCATGTAATAAGCGAAGATTAACATTCCCATTTTAATAGCTAATAGTGGGAATCCACTTACCGATCCGTGGGGGATACCATCTTAAACGAGGAAATATTAGGGTCTTCTGTACTAATGGCGAAACAACACTCTTGTCTACTTGCATGCGGGAGGCTTAAGGATTCATCTAACGTAAGATTGGAGAGGTTGAAACCGGGATCTTTCACGACAACTAGCGTCAACCAATACCACCCCAAAGGATTAGAGTGTCCCATGGTACAACTTCCATTAAAACAGTCCGTAGCTGCAACACAAATTGGAATTTTTGTGCTGCGAGAATGACACGTCAGATCACTTCCCGGGTTTATCCCATTCCACTGTTATCAATATCCAGTTAACAATTGCCATGGCGATGAGTTTCAGACAGGTCTGCTTCAAGGTATATTTTAAGGCTTTGAAGCGGTCGTCTTTAGATATAAACCGGGCTGGACGGGAGATGGTTGTTGTAAGGAAAGTTTCGGATAGTACGTACTAGATTCTCTCTCGTTAAAGATATTATGCCTTCCCATGCTGCCTTGGCTACTTCCGCCGCCGCCTGGGTGATATTATTCGCTGTATCATCATAAGCAATGGTTGTGTTAACGAGGTCAAACGAATTAAAAAGCTTCTTGCACTCATCTACACTCGCGATGATGCCATCTACTACACCGTCTAATCCGTCACACCTGGAAATTGCTGAGGCGGTGATGGCATCTAGTTCGCACCAACGAGGGTATTCTTTTATCATGCGCATAACATGCTCTGGCAAAAGCCTATTCAGCATCACATCTGACCAGTATATCGCCGGTGCGCCTGCAGAAATGCCATCGTACGCCTTTGGAACCCTTTGAGCCAGCATGACGCCCTGTCGGACGCCCTCTGAGCATCCATTGAAATAGGAATTCTTTGGAGGCTAGCCGTAGAAGCTTTCTATTAGAGACTTTCCGATTGCCTAGAGTCGTATTAGTTATATACTTCGTGGCCATGGGTATTCAATCAAGCCATACCTCGTCGTTCAAGCTTTTAGAAGTAAAGTCCTCTAGCATATACCAATCGACATTCCCAGGACTAGTCGAAACCCAAGAAAATGGATCCGTGGCACTTTTCAGCCCGGCGTCGGTGGTAATGGAGGCGTAGCCATCATACGTTGCCCCTGGTGAACCCATATATGATAAATCAATGCGACCTGCCACCCATCCGCCGCCTCCTACTACCTAGAAACGTCCGTTCCAGTTGTCGATAGGAAGCCATGCTTCTACATACATCTCATAATCATATCTAGGGTGAGTATAAGCGACGGTGACATTGTAGAAGTGGGCCCGCTCGACTTTGAGCAATGGTGCCGTAAATACGTAGCCTTCCGGGATATTGAGGCTATAATTTGCTACTAGAGACGCCGAAATTTCAAAAACTTCCGCACCGAAGACCGTAGGAGCAAAGATGCTTGGAACGCAGGCGTTGACGAGGGATCCCAGAGCCATTTTCCTTTCAAAATTTCTAATGGCAAATTAGGTGAAGTGTGTGTATTCTCTTGCTGACTTGGAACTGATCCAGGCGACGGGTTGTCGAGAGGACATGCTTCATTATGTAGGGACTTTCACGTAAGCATCTTCGCGTAGACTTATTCGCGTAAAAGGCATGTCGCTTAGTTACAATCTAGTCCTACGGCGTGGGTGTTGGTAACTCACAATACAGAAACCCCAGTCCTAGTTGTAATAACACATCAATGCAGAGTGAGCCGTCCAGATACACACCGAGTTTTGCAGCGCCAAAAGGTTAAGGGCATGATCGGACGGGTTCTAAATATAGCGAACCACCGAACCCCTCGGTTTGCGACTCGGAAAGTTTACATTGCTTTTCATAGCTATTAAGTGCTCATTGCTTAATTCATTCATGCAGCTTGTTCGTGTGGATTAAACAAGGAATCACACGTAATTGTTCCGATTTGCAACGGGGTTGCCGGAGTCGGATCGGCCCCACTTTAGCGCCGATTGATTGACCGCGTCCGAGATTGCGACCGGATCTAAAACGGAGGGCTATTAACCCAATTTGTGTCCCCCCTTATCCTCTAGCATCTCGGTATCTTATTCTACCATATTTCCCAAACTTTTTCCCAAATGCTCCGGTCAAAATCGACCTTCAATACTTGGCATCTTTGTTTGTAATACTCGCAGAAGTCGAAGGCATTTCCTACCCTCATCATACGTGTCCTGGCTCCACGTTTAAGTAAGTTAAGACACAACTCTGGCCAACAGTTCTGTAGGCAGAAGCTAAGAATTGGCGGCCCATTAATTATATCGTTTGGATCGGCGCCGTAGTTTAGGAAATGTGTGGCTATGTTTAAGAAGGCTTTCCGTCGAGGTTTATCAATTGGCACAATGTTCGACTGAGGCTGATCCGCATATTTGAGAGCTCTAATAAATAATGATTGGTCATCAGAGCACCATGACCCAGCTTCGAGGAGCATTCGTATTATAGGCTCCCGCCTCTCGGCCTGGTCACGGAACGACGTTGGAAATGCTCTCTGTATAATATAGGGAGGGACTTCCGCCGATCCTTTTAAAAGTAGTTGCACTATTTTAACATGTGCCCCATCAACGGCTCTCTCCAAAGCACTAGGGCTTGGTATGCCTTTGATATCTATAATTGCGCCGTGCTCAAGCAAGAGTTCGGTACTCTCAATATAGTTCATCTCGGATGCTCGCTGAAGAGGGGTGCATCCCATGCTTGTTATTCCGTTTGAATTTCTTCCTTTGCGAAGTAAGGTACGAAGAATATCTGAGTTTTGAGATTCTAATGCCAACTCAACAGATGATACTCTTTTGTTGTATTGCACATGTAGATCAGCCCCAAACCTTAGTAGAACTGATATCTCTAGCTTCAAAGCATGATCCGAAATTGGCACTTTGTTAATATTTTGAACTTGTGTTAAAGAAACGTGAAGGGGAGTTCGACCATCTGAAACGCGAACGTTTAGATTTGCACCCAGTCCTAGCGCCAAGGATAACACATCTGTATAATCTTCGGAAAGCAAGGGCAATCCGTCAACCTGGATCGTATTTAATATATCCATAGCTCCCGGCTCGTGTTTCGGGAGAAGATCAATTACATCCTTTGCACACTGCTTTTTATTGCGTATCTTTAAAGCCTCCAACGCGAGTAACATTGCCGGTTTTCCGTCAAAAAATGATTCCGACGGCGTTGCTCCGGAATCCAAAAGTAGCCTAACAAGATCCAAATTGCCGGCATATATAGCACCTCCTAGAGGTGAATCTTGTAGTGCTCCCCGGTTCACGGAAATCCCGAGGTCGATAAGGCGCCTCGTCACGGGACATATGCCATCACTCATTGCCTTCTTTTGAATTATATCCAGGAGCATATCCGCCCAGCGTTCTCCTTTCATAGCTTTTTGCTGGTCAATACTTACAGCAGGATGGTCAAGGAAGTCCATGATAATAAAAGTATTTGAAGGATATTGGGACGTCACCAATCGAAGGAGAATCTCGGGGCTCCATTGAAGACTTTCGGCAGGGTCTGCACCGGCGTCCAAGAAGTATTTGATTACCCCCCAATCTACGAAGTCTGTTGAAATGTAGAGGGCAAAGATATCGGACAAAATTTTAGCCCCAAGTTGAGGCGGCTTGGGTGCAGCATGGATGATACCAATATCGCTTTCTGTTACATCGTACGGTGTAAAGAAATGCTTAATTAGGGACGCATGCGAGTATAGAACCGCCCAATGTAAAGGAGGCATGGGATTTTTGTGTGCCGCCCAGGGTAGCTGTGTATGATCCATACCGACCACGAGATTCTCCCACAATTGCTGTATAACCATGTCGCCATCAAGAGTTCGTGTATGCTCCAGCCAGTTTTCCGTCGCATAAGCAAGTAAGCATAGAGAAATCTGAACTTTACGATCATTTACGCTGATGATTTGGTTCATGATGTCGATATTGGCTGTTGTTCTGCGACGGCTATGTTTAAAAATAGAGCCCATCAGCTTCCCCAGCCTTGGCTCATCTATAATAACACCGTTTATAACCTTATCGGGGATCTTTTCTGCGTATAGCTTCTGCTGGGTAGCCACTCTGGTATCAAAAAGATTATAGTTGAGATATGTCACGCAAACTGATCCCATATGTAACTCCGCCTCCTTTAAGGAAAAGTGAAACGGGGCCATATGGGGTGGATGCGTTTCCGACAATAGGTGCACTAGTGTGCTGTGATGGATAAATAGAACCGTGCCGTCCTCTTCGTCGATTTCGAGGAGGTTGCCACCGCTAACGTATACGAGGGCTTCCGGGTCCAGCGGGAGTGTGGGCGCATCCCAAACTAGACTTCCAGGGGCAACAGTAGCCGCAACTTGAAATTCGTCTAGAAGTAATGGACGTGTGGCGGCTGCCACGATCTTGAAATGCCTGTTGCCGTATCTTCTAGACTTACCTCTTGCAAGCGCGTGATCGAAAGCTTCAGGCAAGTCCTCGGGTAGGTTCTGCAAAATATGGAGTAGTTATGTCTGTTGTTGAAACAAGAGTACTTGTATTCATCGGAAGTATTGCCTCGATTTGCAATGCCACCCAAAGATACATCCCTTGAGCCCCCAATAACAACTGCTCCCTCATGAGTCTCTTTGAGTCTGGATCTAGAGGTCGCGATAAAGTTCGTCTATCAATTTCCCGGTCAATGAAATCTTCAATTTCTTTATACCGACTTTGATTATTCAATGTGATAGTGATTTGCGCGGAGTTGTTTATATTGGAGAATAGCTTTGCCTGGATTCTGGACCCAGGATTACCTGATGAACAGAGAAAAACTTTTCTTTTTTGCATGAGATTAGAAAGGAAGTTGATGATATCATCGGACTCATCACTGTTGCAATTTTCGATACCATCCACTACCAAAAAGATTCCCTCATCCTTGGATGTCGCTCGGAAGAGAAGGTTGGTGATCCCCTCGAGTGTTGCTAGCTTTGATATGGTCTCATCCATGTCAAAACTCCAGAACGGATCATCAAGGGGGATGTTTCTTAGTAGTTGGTAAGTAATACTTCCCAAGAAGTCTCTAAAGCTCAAGGACTCCGGTTCCTTTGATACGCAGAAGAAATAAAGGCACGGTTGTCGTAGGTGAATGTCTGCCACAATATTCGCCAGTGTAACGGTTTTCCCACTGCCTATGCTGCCATTTAACTACAAAACGCACGAAGCATCTCGGCTACGCCAGGCTGAGTATTCTTTCGTCTCGAAGATCCAGAAACATGATCCTTTCCGCCGCTGGCGTCGCCATAAGTTTTCATAGTTTGCTTGATGAGGAGATAGTAATAGAAGGAGTCGATATTTCTGATCAAAGTTCTGCTTCTTTCTTGAGCTACCTGTTATGTGCCGTACGAGGCTCATGTTTCGTTCGATGGCATTCTTTTCTGCTTTTAACACGAACCTAGTCGAGAGTATATTGGACTTCTGTTCGATGAGCTTGCCCCATTGTCCCAATTCTTCTATTAGCGGATTGAACTCGTTATCGGGCGAGGAAAGCATTGATGAGGCAAACTGAGCCAGAGCGGATTTCTTTGTGAAAAGTACAATCTTCTCGCAGAGTCGAACGATACCTATCAGATATTCCAACAGGAAAGATCGTAGTTCGCTGTCTTCGGAGAAGAGCTTAGCAAAATCGCTGTGGAGCGACCAAGCAGTGCCGAGTTTCATGAAAATGGACGATATCATGTCATAGTAGCCAAGGAAACAGACGATCGACTACATATTTTTAGAACTAGATTAGAACGTCATCAAGACGCTAGGTATATTGTCCTCGACGAACAAAATAGACAAGGCCGAAGTTAGGCTAGCTTACCTCGAGACAAATCCTCAAAGCACACCAAACACCACATACAAGAATATTCTGCGAACTGCCCACCAGTACATCTCCAATACTGGCAATTGATTGGATACGACTCAAGAAATTCTTTAGTCTCGTCCCGAGTGGCCTCCATGCTCTATGACGCCTAGCCCCTTCTCTGTTTAACTCCTCGGTAACCCTTATCACATCTGGACCGCATGTTAACAAATGTTTTGCGATTTTCTTCGTCAAGTGCTGTAGCAAATTCGGATAGTTCAAGCCCTAGCCTAGCATCAGGCTTCAGCCTGCCGGCCAAAATTAAGGCTTTAGACATTGCAAAGGGCTGCACGTAAAACCACTAATAACACCTAAAATACAGGCTTAACATGTATCTTGAAATAATATAGATAAAGTTCATGTTAGCGATAGAGTTATACACATACGTGTATATTCGCGAGAGGATAAGTCCAATCCACTGCCTTTTGGGCTGAGCCGAATTTATATATGAGTGAAAAGGTATATCGATGGAAAGGCCGGGGCGGGGCTATGCTTTCTCTTCTAATAACATCATTGTTACGGCCACCCATTGGACAGCTCTCGTCGATCGGAACGCCTATCCAGTCCGCCTGAGCAAAGCCCCTGAAAAAAGAGGCTTAGCGGCGAAACTGGGAGGGAGAGGGAAAACGCAATAGAGACCAATGAGCGAAAGAATTCCTTAAATCAATAATGATGATTTCGATACTCCATTTACGCACTATCTCCTATATTAAAATGCCTCGAGCTGTGACTAGCCTTGGTCAATACTTACGTATTTATTGAGTTCTCCTTCGCTTAATATTTACTTGAGAGGTACTTACGCTGAATCGAGATATTTTGATTGGTTTACTCTTGGATGTAAAGTGCTTTCTCGGTATCATCTTTACTGCGGCTAGTGCCTACTGCCCTGAGCCTGACGACAGAAAAGTAGAAATTAAGCCTATAAAAACAAAGGGCGTTTGTAAGGGGTCCCCAGAGAGCTGTAGGTACTTAGCTTGGGTATTTAATAGTAGCTAATGACAACCAGCAAATCATGTCTCTTCTTTGCAGCAAGGCGGTCATTACATGCCAGAAGTAAAGTCAAAATCATGGCAAAGTACCATATTGACCTGTTTCCTCCCGCCGATCCCTAAAACTTCCCATAAAGATCCTTATCTCCCATCGTCTCAAAGTCATTCCATTCACAGCCACTAGTAAGCCCAGACTCTCGTCTCTCCCCGTGCATCTTTCACCCCTTTCCTGTTCATTCTCGAATAGTACAACCTCAAGCAAAGCGCTATTATCGCCACGAGAAAGTTACACGCGGCGCATACGAAATTCCCAGTGGGGTAACCCAGCTTTGCTTCATCTCCTTTCCATATCCACTGTGAGATAATCTGTCCTATTCCAGCGCATGAATTATGCAGGGCGATGGCGAATGGGATCGTCAATAAGCTCGGCGTGTTGCATGTTACCCAGTTCGTCATCGACGGCGCCGCCGGGAAGGCTCCGGCTGCTGCCATGCAGAGGCAGCCGTATCGTTTTACGTACGCAGTCGGCGGTAGCAATCCAGCTATGAGCCAGCCTAAGCCGCCGATTGTTGAAATTACGGTGATATGAAAGCCACGGGCTTCAAACCGATCAGCAGAGTAAGAAAGCACGATGGCTACCGCGAACCCGACAACCCACTAAGTTGGGATGAGATGTTAGCATGAGAAACTCGCGTATCCTATATTTTCGACTATTTTATTCCGTATCTTGCTCAGCCTCGAAAGACATCAAAATAACTGGTGCGCCTCTAATAATAGGAATGCAGGTAGATAGCCATAATATAAAATTGCGTCGACGTTGGAATCCTACGGGACAATAAAAAGGACAACTTGAAAGGCACATACCGGTGGGACTGTCATTAGCTGCGCATGAATACTCTGATAGCCTAGACCGGACACAATAGTTGGGGCGAAAAAGGTGAATGAGCCTTGGGTCACTACGTTCGCCACGTAGGCAAGGTAGTGAGCCAGCATCCGTGGACTGAAAAACGTCTCCAAGATCTCCTTCCGCGTAGCATGCTCTCTATTCCACCCGCCGCCTCGATCTTTTAGGCGATCTTCTGCAAAACTCTTCTCCTCCGCGCTGAGAAACTTGGCCCGGGATGGGTAGTCTGGTAGGAGCAACAGTGTCGGCAGCACGCTTAAGATGGTGATAATGCCCTCAACTATAAAGAGCCAGCGAAACCCCTCGACTCCAGCTGCGCCATTTATGGTACCCATACCATAGGCGATAGCTCCCCCGAATGCCCCGGCCAGGTTGCAAAAGGCGATGACAAAGGCTATCCTAACGGCTCGCTCATTATGTCGATACCAGATTGTTATGAGGTAAACAATGCCGGGGAAGAAGCCGGCCTCGAACTACGTCAAGTCAGCAACCAAGCTATATCCGTCTCAATCTGGTATTCGTCGTAAGATCCTGTACTTACCACGCCGATGAGCAAGCGCAATGCTAAGACCGTTGCATAATTCCTAACAAAAGCAAACCCCAAAGTCAGAAGTCCCCAGCTACCCAACAGTATCGCTAGCCACCTAGAGGGGGCTACATAATGTTTCATAACCCAATTGGAGGGCACTTCAAACAGGGTATATGCCACAGAAAATAAGGTCACGGTAAGAGCATATCCGTTACTTGACATCCCTGTCTTGTGAAGAAGATCATCTCCGGTCTCTTGATTCAATACCCTGGCATTACCTATATTTCCCCTGTCTAGAAAGTTGAGTAGATATAACCAGCAACATATTGGGAGTATCCGGACGTCGAGGCGTCGGTTTAAGAGCTTGCTGCGGTTGTGATCAAACTCTCCATTATTGGTCTCTTGAAGAGACTTGTCGGCTTTCCCCTACATAGTAGTCTCGAGTTAGCTGGCCCTAATCATTATAAACTTAACTTGACTAACCTCTTCGGTGTTGCCCTCGAAGTATTGAGGAGGCTCGATTTTTTCCATCTTCTCCAGCTCAACATATCGTGGAGGGGTTACTCGTAGGAGGTTGGGACATATTGGAGGACCCAATCTAGTTAAAGTACGTCCTCTTTATAAGGCAATGCGACCAGCTACCAGACATCATACAATGAAATCTCCTCCCTCTACAGCGATAGAGATAGCCGATTTCTCCGCATTACCACTTGAACTCCCCATACTACCCCGCAAAGCAGACACGATCTGCCTCTTGACTGTAAACCTTTTTGGATATGTAGACGCGCTACTCGTTAACGCGGGGTAGTTCCCCAGATTCCGGTTTTATAATAGACCACGCCTCTAGACCGCGAGAACATATGCCGAAGTGACAGTTTTATTACCAAGCTCTTAAGGAAATTAGTCACAATCCTAGCTCGAGCTTATCGGAATTAGATTAAGCCCGGGGGGGTGAACAAAGCGCGACATCAAGTACTTAGCAGATTCGCCAAGAGACCAAACTTGTACGGAATACAATGGGTTTATAATTCGCCGTTAGATAAGGAGTTATAAAGGATATTCGATCATTATAGCGATTAAGTAACCGTTAGTTGATATGAGAAGTTTAGTCAATCCGAAAATACTGACGTTTACATAGTGTCAAGTGAGGATAAGAGAATTGGACCAATTGATAAGAACTGTTCCACTTTTTAATCGACCCAATATTTCGACTCATTTTCAAGTACGGATTACAATTCCTAATATCCCAATCTTAATTCCGACCCTGATCTTCTCTGGTGGGATTCTATTGTTTGACCTACTATATACAAACTATGAATGCTAAGCCCTTATGGTTACTACTTAGTGATATTCATTTCGGATCACGTGATCTTGATAGAGTCATACGAACTTCAAACTGGATTGCCTCTCTTCCCAAGTCTCATACAAATATTCGTCGCGCAATCATCTGCGGTGACCTACTCACAACGCGCACTTCGCAGCCAACTCACGTCCTTTCAGCATGCTACCGCTTCTTAAACAAGCTGGTGGAAGCCGTGCCGCATGTCGATATCATCCTAGGCAATCATGACTTGGCTTACCGCTTCGATTACACCACTTCGGCCTTGGAGGCGCTTTCAATTAATCGACTAGCCCCCTTCGTAACGCTCCATACGAAATTAGGATGTCACGAATGGGATGGCCGACGGGTATTTGTGATGCCGTTTCGCGAAGACCAGAACCAAATTGTTAAGGAGATACATAACTTGGACCCGAAGAGCGCCGCCCAGACGGTTGGGTTCGGACACCTGGCCATAAACCGGGCTATAACACAGAAATACACCGTAAATTCGGAGACCGGGAAGCCTGGTTTCTCCATAAGGTACCCCGGCCTTACTGGCGTGGGTGGATTTGCGCCGCTGGCGAGGACATTTACTGGCCACTTCCACAGCCACCAAACGATTCTCCAAGGTACGAGCGAACAGAATCAGGATCTCCATGGAAGTATAACATATATCGGGGCACCGTTACAGCTTACGTGGGCGGATCTGTTCGACACCAATAGAGGGGTCATTTTGCTCGACCCCGAGACTCTGCAGAATGACCTTATCTGTAACCCTTATGCAGTCGGTTATGTGTCGATGGATATCCAAGATATACTCTCGGGTGAGATGGACGAAGAACATATCCGCGACAAGCATGTCATGATTACCGGGAATTTATCAAGATACAAGTACATTTCAGCTAGAGAAAGTCTGGTTAAATTAGGAGCGCGCAGCGTAAGAGACTGGAAGCCTTTTGAGCCGGCGTGGCAATCCCAGAAGAATGGTCTCGGTAAGACCATGCTTCCTGCTGATATCCAAAACCTACCGAACATAGGGAGCGATGGATTGTCAGGGGAAACGGGGGACGTCAAATCTTCTAATCCCATTCATCCCTCGGCCATTGCTTCACCAAGACCGATGGCCGAGCAAATAGAGCGCGAGCCGATTGACCTTGGCGAAGTTACCGACGAATACGTGTCTTCTCTAAGTCTCGGACCTGCTCTTGAGAGCAAGCGAGGGTTATTAGCCGCCGTAGGAAAGCGACTTGTGAAGATCGGGAGTTCCGCTCGCGACAAGGTCAACGACACGATCAAGTATAGGGATATTCTCGACTTGTCCACCTCCTTGGCTGTTCCCTCGAATGAATCTCCGCGCATCTTTATCGCACACCCTATTGCTATCGAAATTACAAACTTCCTCGGCGTCCAGGGCTCTCTCGAGCTTCAATTTGAGCGTCACTTTCAACCTGGTATGAACTTTATAATCGGAAAAAATGGCGCGGGTAAGACGACAATCATCGAGGCAATCGTGTGGTGCCAATTTGGACAGTGTATCAGGGACGGGCTTGGGGTGAACGACGTTGTCAACGACATCGTCGGGAAGAACTGCAACGTTCGTCTTACATTTGCCAATGGGTATTCGATTTCACGGTCTAGGAAGCATAGCGAGTTTCAGAATCGCGTGATTGTGGAAAAGGACGGTATCGTACAGCCCCAGTTTGAAGGACCCAGCGCCAGAAGTTCTCAGGCGTCTATCAATGAATTGCTAGGCGTAGACTTCGACACGTTTATCAGAACAATTCTTCTAGGTAACGAAAGTACTCGGAGCTTCTTGAGCGCCTCGCAACTACAGAAGAGGCAGTTGATTGAAGCCGCTTTGGGTCTAGGGATCCTAGACGGGTGTACAGAAACTTGCAATTTAATGATGAGCCAGGTAGACGAGGAGCTAGGCGTGAAGCAGTCGCGACTCAAAGAGGTTACCCATACAATCGCTCATCTCAAAGGTCGGGTTTCCCAAATGGTTAAAACGCTGAAACGTTTATTTGTCGAGGCAGAGACTATCATTGACCAGGTGCAACTCGAAGACCAAAAACACTTTGCATCCCTGAACGCGAAAGAGCTCAGGATAAAGCAGCTTAGGGAGGAACTTGAGAGTGAGCAATTGCCAAATCTAGAGCCTGAGCTTTCAGAGCTTCGAAGGAACGTTTCTAGAGCACATGGCGAAGTGGGAAAGCTTGGTACGCTAGCAAAGCTTTCACGGGCTCGTTTATCAATAGATCGTAAGAGGGCAGCTATCAAGCATGAGATGGTAGCTATTGGTACGCAGCTTGGTGATTTCGAAAGAACAGTCGAGCGTCTGCTGGAAGAGAACGAAATATTGGAGATCCCACCTCCATCCGCCAACGAGAACCATGGCAAAGCGGAGCGTAGCGAACAGGGCTTTCTGCCTAGTATCATGCTCATATTTCGGAACGCCTGGGCGTCTATGCTTAGATTTATCAGCTTAAAATTATCTCCTAACATCATAAAAGTAGAGCAGCGGTGGCACGACCACATGAGGGCAATCGTTGCCTTCAACAACACTATCAGGGAAGTACAAATCAAAATTTCGACTATGGAGGACGCTGTATCAAATTATTCCAACGATACTTCCCGACAAGATATCATGAGCATAACGGTACAACAAGCATTACGCATTCCCACTCAGCTAAGTGCCGCCATTGATGAGCTACAACGTGCGACAAGCCAATACAATCATCTCCAACAGCAATATGAGAGCCAAAAACAGAAGCGACTTCGCAAGCAGCAAGATCTAGACGGACGAGAAAAGGACATTGATACGACGAGACAAAAATGGCAAGTGTCTTTAGATCGGTACCATCTGATGCTCGCTGGCAAAGAGAAAGAAATTGCCACCTATAAAGAACACCTCCAGTCGGATGCCGAATCCGTTTTTGGCCTCGTCCGCCAAGCAGCCGACCTAAGGAAAGAGGCTGCAGAAATACACTCACACAGGGAAATATTCGCCTTTTGGCAATCTGCTCTTACGCGACGGCAGGTAGCAAAGGCTACGTTTCGGCATCACGTCACCGAGCGACATCTAGGGGAGCTAAACAAACTTCTAGGACAGATCCTGTTAGTCATGTATCAGGACGCAAACTATGCGCGCAATATGACTTCTGGTACTATCGGAGCACTCTTCAAAGAAGAATACCAGGATGGTGACGATCGAGATGATAATCAAGAGTCCACGTCAGTGCTTGAACCGTCTCTATCGATGAATCAGGCACTTGATTACGCAAAGCGAAGTGGTGGTGAACGCAAACGCGTAGATCTGGCGCTATTCTTCGCGCTGTCTATGATGGCAGGGGCCAGAAGTCCCCACATGGCGAGGTACATGCTTGTTGACGAAGCCTTTGACTCCTTAGATGTAAGCGGCCAAGCTTCCGTGCTTAAATGGTGCCGCTGGATGGCGGAACGGCTATCGTACGTCTTAGTTATTACGCATAGCCCAAACCTCGTCAAGCTCGCCGAGGAGGAAAGCGATGCTGGCGGTGGTGTCGGGGCAAATATTATTACTGTCAGGGCTGGTAATAAAGGCACCGAGTTGGTGGAAACGCAGGAGTCTATAGCTACCTCGCCTACTTAGCCAATTTTTAAGTTGCTAGCATATCATACAAATCCCCATTCTCGTACCTTGGAGCTTCTCGTAACGGAGATCAGAGACCTTTATGATATAAAATCTTATTCCCAAATTGAACTCGTGACTACTGATGGTACTTGGAGGCTAGATGGGAATAGCAGCCTGATCTTGCTTGGCAGGTGGTAAGTTCAGAGACATACTCCAAATCAATCATGTAAAATTTATGTTCTAGAATCTGCCATCGTAACCTAACCTATGGCTCGGCTACTTACACGATCAAGCCGGCGGAAAGGTATCAGGACACGACAGCTACACCCTAACTAACCCCCTGTCCAAATTCCCAAGCGAGTTTCCAGACCCCGATACCGAGAAAACTACTCGTGCTTGGTTCAAGCGGTGCTGTTCGAGAAGGGAGATAATGGAACGATAGACGCAACCCGGTTTTTATGGATGGTACATAAGCGGAAGGTCGAGATGCTACAAGAAAAAGCTTGTGTGGCTCGACGGAGCTTCTCGGCGACGCCATTGGTGGGGTATCGGGGCGGCGCGGTGGTATTCGAAATGGGAACGGAATCAATCTCCAGATTGCCATATTGGGCGGCTCGGCCTTGGCTCAGGTTGCAGCATTACCTCATGCCATGCATGGTTTTCAGCCGTTATTCGGGGCGAGCTAGGGAAGTCGGTCTACCAAGTCCGGGAGGGGGATCACATGGGGCGGCCAGAATGAGCGCTGCGGAAAGGCACGATGTGTAGCCCGAGACTGTAACTTTTTCTGCTGCTAAGGACCTAGGTAGGGTGTTAAGCGGCGGGCGGGTTTGCATGCCACGTCGATATAAATCGAAGGACGAAGTAGGGAGGCTGTGATTATTTATAGGATGTAATCCCCACGATCTGCAAACAGCCTGTCCTCAGCCTCAAATTGCGTGATAGAGATCTACACACGTCCTACGGCTAAACGATAAGTCCATTATGAGATCGACATTATTAGCTACCGTGGCTGCCTTGGGCGCTACACACGTCGCCGGCCATGCCACCTTCCAGGACCTCTGGATAAACGGCGTCGATATGATAAGTATACCCCGATGCCGAGTTTCGCCAGTTACTAACATGTCTCGCACGGGGGCTCATGTGCTAGATTACCGCTTTCTAACTCCCCGGTGACGAACGTAGCATCGAAGGACATCGCTTGCAATGCCGGTACTAAGCCTGTATCCGGAAAATGTAGTGTCGCCGCAGGATCGACAGTGACAGTAGAGATTCATCAGGTATGTATACCTTCACATTTCGTATACTCTATTATATGTCGGCTAATACGTCTGGTTAGCAACCCGGAGACCGTACTTGCGCAGCGGAAGCGATCGGTGGCGCCCACTACGGACCAGTCCAAGTATACATGGCCTCCGTAACCGATGCCTCGACGGCCGACGGGTCCTCCTCGTCATGGTTCAAGGTCTTCGCCGACACGTGGGCTAAGAACCCTTCGGGAGCAAGCGCTGATGACGATTGGTGGGGGACAAAAGATATCAACGAGTGTTGCGGCCGGATGGATGTGAAAATCCCATCCGATATAGCTGCTGGCGACTACCTCCTGCGGGCCGAAGCCTTGGCTCTACACACAGCGGGTCAAAGCGACGGCGCGCAGTTTTACATGACATGCTTCCAGCTGACCGTCACGGGCGGTGGTAGTGCCAAGCCCGCAGGTGTCTCGCTGCCCGGTGCCTATAAGGCAAGCGATCCTGGTATCCTCGTCAATATCCACGGGAAGTTGGATTCGTATGTTGCGCCTGGCCCAGCGGTCTACGCAGGTGGCTCGACAAAGAGCGCAGGCTCTTCATGCTCCGGCTGCGCGAGCACATGTGCCGCCGGAAAAGCCCCGTCGAGCACCGCTGGCGGCAATGGAGGTAGTACTCCTACCGCGAGTGCGACAAACACGGCCGCTCCACCAGCAAACACGGGCGATTCCGGGTCGGGATGCGGTGTCTCTTTATATGGTCAATGTGGAGGAAGCGGATTCACGGGCTGTACCAACTGCAGTGTAAGTCAAGGTTCTCTCCGCTAAACTTCTCTACTATCAAACATAACTGACTACTGCCCAGAGCGGAAAATGCCAAAAGCTCAACGATTACTATTCACAGTGTAGCTAATCTAAGACAGAAAGGGATTAGCGAGCATGCTTTGACGAGAAGACATGTTAAGGTAAATCGAATTGATATCGAGTAAACGTATTGCTGAGTTGTATGAGAAATTGAATTTGGCGTTAGTAATATTTATGTATATAATATAATGTGGCTGTACTCGCCGGAGCTCGTATGGTGTATCGGCTCGTGAACTATCGCCATTAATATTCATCACAACTCTTGTCCGCACACAATATTGATCGCAATCTTTCACTCTCTTGGGTATCACATCTGAATAGCGAGCATAGGGCGACAAGGCACGGGCAGATCGAGATGCACACAAGGCGGACAAACCCACGCTCTGTATCTAAAAGTTCGAAAAATCACGTCGGAGGGCCGGAGTAGTTCTTACGGCCCCAGGCGAAATACCATCCAGCCGAAATTGCCGTAAATCCTACAAAGACCACCGAAGCGTAGTTCATAAGAGAAGGATCCAGCACCGGAACGGTAGTTGGCATACAGAATAACGGAATGGCCAATAGAGACCAGCCTATGCTTTTATTAGCCCATGAGACAATGGCCGGCACGAAGCTCGGCACGATCGGGCAGACGACACTTACATAGAGACACGATGTTACAAAACCATCCGATCGGGCCTAGGTAGAAGCTGCCGGTGCGGACGGTCTGGCGTCCATTGAGCATACTGACAACGATCGGCGTAGCATAAGACGCCGTCAGCGCAATAACTCCGACGCCCGAGAAAGCATTGAAAGCAGCCGACGAGCCGAAGTAGATAAGGCCGAGGATGATCTGAACAACCATGCTGAGCATCATCGCGTTCAAGGGAACATCGTCGAGGTTATGGTTGATTTGCTTCCACCACTTTGAGCCGGGAATGGCGCCGTCGCGAGCAAATGCGTAGACGCACCGCGATGCGGCAGTCGTGCAGCCGATGCCGCATATGAGCGCCAAAACGAGGAGAGGAATTAGCAGACCGAATGCGCCCCCGGAGTTTCCTATTGCGCTCTTGATAATCGCCGGGACGGGTTGCGCGAGCACGATGAGTCCTTGAATATCGGGAAGAACAAACACTAACGGAATCATAAACATCAACCCAGCTACGGTGTTGATGCACACCGTCAATACCATGGCCTTGGGTACCTGCGTAGCCGGCGCTCGGACCTCTTCGCACATGCTGTAGTCTTTGTAAGGATGATGAACTAAGCGAGATGAGTTTTAAATACTTACGAGATGATCATGCCGGTAGAAGAAGTAGCGTAGGCGGCATGTAAGAGACCGACGATGAAAGACCAACCGGGTGTCCAGCCAGAGTTAGCCTCGAAATGCGTGAATACCCAACTGGCATCGCGGCGACCTTCCTTAGCAATGGCCAAGACGCAGGCCATGATAGCAATAACACCAGCAAAGGTCCAAAAAATTGCAAAGGTCTAAAAATCAAATGTCAATATTAGCCAAGCGTCGATGAGAGTAGAGAGAAATAGAAAATCCGTACGTCGAGAATAGGTAGCCATTTATTGCCTAGCGACGAAACGGCATTGCAAAGAAGCGTAATGGCTAGGAAGATGAGGAAGACTTGATAGGATTCACCGGCGAGCACAGCTTGACCATCCGCAGTCTCAAACACATTGACGCATCCGATCAAAAATAACGTCGTGCCGAAGTTGACGGCTAAGGTAATGGTAACATTTCCGACCACGTAAAGCCAACCACAGGTCCAAGCAGCAATGCGACGCCAGCGAGGAGGTGCCAGCATGAACGTCTGGTAATAAACACCACCGGCAGTTGGATATACGCTCGTAATTTCGCCGAGCGACGCGGCAACACAAATAATAATCATCGACACAGCAACCCATCCCCAGATGATGTTGACCGGTCCGCCTCCGACCAGAGGGTAATAGAGAGTCGTAGCTAAACCATACGGAATCGATGCCAGGACGAAAGACATGAAAGCAACCTGTAGAGTGGACCGATTCCGCGACAGCTCGGGAGTGTAACCGAGGGACACGAGCATTTGGTCGGCCGATCCCGCATCGGCTTCGCTAAGCAAGTCACGGACCGCATCGTCGGCGGTACTGACCGGCTTTTTCATGTCGGTATCTGCCATCATCTAATACTTCGACTTGAGCACGCGATCAAGTAAACGAGTGGCGCTTCATAAATGACACGCCGGTTATAAAGAGTATAAGGAATATATGTTACTAAGTCTCCATTTATATAATAACGTCTATACGATAATAGCAATGTCGATTGGTATTTCCTTTTGAGCTAAAGAATAAATTTGAACGAAGAATAGAATAACGATAAAGAGAAAAGAACGAGAACGAGTCGCAAAAAAAGATCACGGCTGATTTAGGTACTTGGGTAGGCCGGTAGAGAAAGAGAAAAATTATGTGGACTGACATCATACCTGGAAGTTGCCTGTGCATCAGTAGCTTAGATTAGGCTGCGCTTTCTAATTAATCCCTGCAAATCTTTAGATAACATATCTTTCACCTGCTTTTTCCCGGTTAGCGTCCCACGCGAATGACGGGGGGCTCCGCGTTCCTGATAAACATCCCTGTGGCGTGTGTTACTTGAGATAATTGAGATAAGAGATCTTGAATTACGCGCGGAGGTACATTACCGGATAGACTTACAAGAAATCAATGCGATAAACTCGGCATAAAGATGATTTAGTAAGTAGAAGCGCAAAACTGAGAATGCCCATAATGCTTAAGCTCGAAAATAATTATTTTAGCGGTCCATAATTTTAATTATTCGAAACAGTTTGCCAATCCATTTTAGGAAATCTCGGTCTGAATGATCTACGCGTACCAAATGACCGGCCCGTCCTAAACGGCTTTTCAACCAATCATATACATGTATTACATATGGTCCCGCATTAAACCCCGACGATACCGGGGCCGATGCCGTTAAGCCCCGCTTTTCTCGGCCTTAGATCCATATAGATATTTGCAACCGTTTAGAAGTTAGTGTTAGTGCCAAATTAATATTATCGTACGCATTGGTGGCAATAATATTTCGTATTTCTATATTAGCAGGTCGCAGATGTAACAGTTAAAACATACTACTACATAGACGATAAACGCGCTTAGCAACTTTACCTTTACGAGACCCAATGTGATCGGTACTTAGTGCAAGGGCACTCTTATATGGCAAACTTCAAGCCGAGGTTTACGAAGATATATAAACTCTATAAACGCGCTCAAATCAGTAGTTTAACTATGACTAATTACGTGAATTAAGGGCAATTAAAACCTCATAAATAGAGTCGATCGCTTTCAATCATTGCCTACACTTGTGATCGCAGACATGGAAACTTAGCTAGCTGCGGTGTATCTAGAGACTCGGCTTGGGCTGTCGACTTGTTCATGCAGTTACGCATTTTGCGCGTCATACTGTTTAAAGACCTCATCCATCTCCTTCATTCTCGCGACGGCATCATGTAACCGGGGCCAATTCCTCTCCTCCGGGAGATCACCGATAGGCCTTCCGTTATTCCACCAACGCGCATACCTCTCATACAATTCCGCCACGATCCTGGAACGATACGGGAGTTCCTTTTGCCAGTCTTCCCAGTCCCACTCTACATCGATCACCTCTTCCGAAGCATGATCGTGGATCTTGATCTCGATCGGCTCTCTATAAGAATCAGAGTGTATGTATGCGCCATTAGCGGTCACCATGATCTCGCCTGCTTCGCCGTTAATTGTCCACACGAATCCTGGGTTCCCCTTGAATTGCTGTCCGCTCCTGTACGTAACAGATAATGTAGCATCCTCCGCAATATCTGCCTTCCCCTTGGCCAGCTTCCCATGAACAGCCAGAAAATCAGGTACGTCGCTTTCTATCTCCTTGATTCGAGTCCCATCCGTACCCCGAACCGCGACGACTGGCCGCTGTATCTGCATCCGACTTTTAAACGAGGCAAACTCCCCGAGAACTTCGTGCACGTAGTCGATAGTGTGCCCGTAAGCAATGGTGATGGGATTGCCCCCAATCTTCCGGTCTGCGAAATATGAAAGACCCTCCGGTAGCGAGTCCCTGGGTAAGAGATTACCGTAGGCACGAATGTCGCTACTCAATACTCGGCCTATTCGACCCGACTTGAGAATCTCTTTAAGTTTGAGGACTATAGGCGAGACGCGCCCCTGAAGGCCAATGATGCTATTATCTAGACGTTTGTTAGCCGTCAAAGCAACGGCTTCCTCGCAATTCTCTACGAGGGGCCACTCTATATAGACAGCTTTTCCGGCTCGCAAAGACGGCTCCGTCGTCAAGCTATGAGTATCAACTCGGGTGCAACAGACGACAAAGTCGACATCCGGATCTAAGGCCAAGTCATTTGGGTCGCCATAAGTCCTCACATCCGAAGGAAGCGAAAAGTGTTTTCTCGCTGCTTCTGCAGACGCAACGCTCGAGTTAAGGAGCGCAACAATCTCATAGTGAGATTTGCCCCGAGGTGATAAAAGATACGGCAAGTGACCCTGGGCGGCCCAGGAGGTCTTCGCAGACGAGGAGAGGCCGATGAGTGCAACACGGATAAGTGCCATATTGGAGCGAGTATAATGTAGATGTTTGTATAACAATTCCTTTGTAGTGCTGTATAAAGAGAAACCTACGTAGGAAGACTCCTTTTATATCCAAGTCTACTGTCTCTACATTTTAGAAATCATCAGTTAAAGAAGACGATGACTTACCAATACATACAGTGTCTAAATACAGCTTCATACGGTATAGTTCATAGCAAAGCAGGTAGCAGAACACGGTACGAGCTAGAATAGGTGACATACAACCGTCCCGCTTATTTCCATTTTAGGGAAATGGTCTCGATATTCATTACGCGCCTTATGTAGCATCAGCATCTCCCCAATAGCTTCACGCACCTTGCCCCAAGAAGAACACTAATAATAGTAACCTTCACCCACAAACTTGCAAAGCTCAGAAGAAACCCAAACATAAAAAAAGCGCTCCCATAAATAAAGTATTCCCGTGAACAACTCCAACAATGACGTGCTACAGGAGAATGCTTCTAGCAGTCTCTTCCCCATCCTAAATGCCGATTCACCTCGTCCATAGCGCTGATGCCGGCCCTGAATAGGCCCACCGCCCCGTCGACTGTCGAGTTTCCGGACTCGAAGGTCGGTTCGGGCTCTTCTGCTCGCCTCAGATCCGTCTGATCCAGCAGCGCTTGTCGCTTCCGCAGCACTGCGCTGGATATAGCTCGTCCCCACATGTTAAACCACTGGTCCTCGCTAATACTCACGTACTGCTTGGTGCCGTCGTCAGCTATCCTCGAGAACGGCCACTCAGAGACAACAACCTCCCATCTCTTAGTCCGCAGCCACAAGTACGGCCAGGAAAAGATGAATAGGAGAGTGAACGTGAACAGCATTTGTATCCACGTCGTCAGGCGCCACTTGTTTATCCTTGCTTCGTTGTAGCACTCGATCAGGGAGTCCTTCGTAACGAGTTCCACCTTAAGATGGCCGCGGTAGTTCGTACCGTTTACCAGCTCTCTCAGCTTCGTCTTAATATGCTCATCGTCAAATCCGATCATCCTTCGTTGAAGTGCGAAGACCTTCAAGCCTGCATGGCTGGCAGAGTACCGATGACACCATTCCTTCAGCGTCGGTTTCGGGATGCCACCGACCTCGATGCTCTGATTCGAACCGGGGGCGCGCTTCCTAAGTATAGTACCACGACGGGTCTTCTCGCCGTTCTCCACGGTCCGGATATAATTCCACGAACGGCGATACTGCGCATCCGAGTAGAGATATGGTGTTAGCTCGACAGAAACGTCAAAGTCGGTAATCGTGTTCTTCTCCATCTTGCCCTTGCTATCTCTCGTAGTCTCGGTATGTGTTCCGACAAGTTTGATATAAGGTCGCGGAGGAATTGCGGCGAGGTGTCGAATATGTTTCTCGAGATTAGTCGGGCTTTCGAGGCTCTTAGCCATCCAGTACTGGGCGCCAGTGTTCAAGTCGTTGAACCGCATAGCGTCTTCGACGAATGGCGTTTGGGCTATAGCCAAGCCGCTGCCGGGAACAGCCGTTTGCGCATCGGGCGGTGGGAGCAACGACTCGCTTTCGGTATAATTCGGCGGTAGGTCATCGATAGCAGTCTCGGGGATGTCGAGATCATCGTTGTCGCTGTAGGTCACTCTAGAACTCTCACCGGGGTTGGTACGCAGCGAGACGGCATCGTCCGCCACCTTGCCGTCCGGTTTGCCCATGGTTCACGAGATTGATGTAAGATATTTGATTAAAGGGTAACTTCTAACTTGGGCAGATGCGACCGTAAAGGTTTGTTTTATACCTAAATCCTGGAGGGGAAGGAAAAGAGCGATTAGGCAGCAGAGGGAATTGATGATTGACAGCTGAGGCTGAATTCCGTACTTTACGCTAGAGAGGTACCTAAGAAAAACCCCTGATGTTTGACCTAATACTCCTGCCCTATGAGGAACCCGTTAGGAAATGCATGCGGGTAGGCGGGGCAAACGGCTCTACTGACTAACCACCAACAAGTTTACCTAAAATAGCAACCAACGATTTACAAGGAGACCATGCAAATACTACAGCCTTGAAACTACCATCTACCTACGTATAATTTAGGTGTAATTAGGTACGATTACAACCTCTTAACAGAGCATTTCAACACATTCATATCATCACACTGCGCTAACAAAGAGAGATCTTTTAACGATGAACAACCTATATCATGATACAATGGCTGAATCGCTACAACATCACAATGATCTTGTACATAAACAAGCATTGATATCATATACTATCGATATTGTTCGCATACGATCGGTGTCATCAATATAGTATATAGTCGCCTATATTTTCTCTAAAGTCAGCATTCCTTTAACCATCCCACAACAACTTACAAAACCTTACAACACCTTACCACACTTCACAGTCTTTGTAGTATCTTGCAACATCCTACAACCACAAACCCATCTCAGTCCACCATGTTCACCACGATGTTAGATCAAGCGCAGTCCCCATTCTTCTCTCTTCCGGGAGAGCTCCGCAATAAGATCTACAAGTATTACCACATCAATACGCTGGCAAGCTATGAATACGACGGTGTCCTCCGTCCTCAGGAGGTTGCCTCAGCACTCTCTAACCCACATGGTCTTCTCAAGACCTGTAAGCGAGCATACAATGAAGCTTATGACATGCTCTGCGCCTCCCACGCAGAAATCACTGCCATTACGTACCCCAATTTCCGTCCTGGCTCTGTCCGTATTTCAAGTGACGGTATTTTTCAACCTTCTCAGCTTCGCTCCCTCGATGTCACCTACATTTATGATATCAGACCTTCTTGTGACAATCTATTCTTTTGCCTCATGTGGTTGGCCCGGGTGGCCCCTAATATCCGTCGATTAAAGATTACAGTCGACCACGGCAGCCTAGTCTTTCCTCGCCCTGAATGGACAGCACGAGGATGCATCCTAACAACCTTCAACAGGATCGTTCCGCAAGTCGTAAGTTTTAGGCAACTCGAATCCGTTGAATTGCACGGCCGCTTTGATGCCGATATGGCCAAACTTTTACATATCCGACTTACTCATGCATCCATGGACGAGCAGGTGAAATTGTATAGAGTTGTACCACGCGAACCCACTGAGCCAGTCAGAACGTATGAATCTGTTCCGGTGGAAGCTGCGGATCTGGAGTTGGCACCAGGCGATGAGGACTTTTACGGCCCATTGGATTCCAATGCGTATATAATAAGCTTAGCGGAAGCTGAAGAGATAATGGACCATTGGTTCTCGGACAACCCACACTATTGAAGCACTAGATTTATCAGAATGAGGAGTCTATGCCAGATGAAGAAAGTCAGAACTCTTGAAAGTTCTCGATCTTAGCAATAACGCACACGCTTTGGAAAAATAGAAACGACCAATTCCAAGCGAACTGAAACGCGTTTGACATTAGATAGTAATATAACCAGTAAATATTTAATAATATAGCATACGTACCCAAGTAGCTTTGCTGGTCCGAATAGAATAACACAATATGGGCCAAGGATGATATTAAACATTCCATATGATTAAGCGAATTTCTTACGTGTGAATGAAGTTCCAAATTCGATTGAAAGGTGTCTAGGAAAGCGGAAGAAAAAGACGGATTTTAAAGGAGGAAAAAAAAAACACTTACAATAAAAGTGAAGCGTCTATAATGTGTGACAAGCCCTACGTGGGACTCGAACCCACAGCCTCTGAATATCTAGTAGAAGTTCAGTGCTCTACCATTGAGCTAGCAAGGCACTGTTGAAGATCCTATTCTTTACGTGTATATTGATTTAATCTGGAAATCGACTTGTGGGCTTTCGAAAGCCAAAGAATTTCATCCCTTAGACGCTTCATTTTCCTTAGTTAAAGAGAAAGCCTCCACACGGTCTTACACAGGTAGCTTTTAACCCTAATAGCACTATTAGCAGCATGGACCGTGCACTAGGGTCAAGTGGGATGGTTCTAAAAGTTTATTGGTCCACGATATTATCCAATACCAAGCGGTCATACTAGGGCGGATTTTTTTGGAAAAAAAAAAGAAAAAAAAAGAAAAAAAAAGGACAAAAAGAAAGAAATACAAAAGGTAATAATGACAAGAGTGGGACTTGAACCCACGCGGATTTCTCCATGAGGATACGATATTAAGGTGACCTTAACCTCACGCCATAACCAACTCGGCCATCTTGCCGTGGATGTAGAGGCTTTTAGTATGAAACTTAAGGGATGAAAATGGCTTGAGGTTTTGATTGGACGATAGATTCTGGTCGATCATTGGTCAATTCATAGTATACCTAGTGGAGAGGGAAAGGGATGAAGAAAAAAAGAATCCTGAATAATTCAGAGGTAAAATTATCCAGAGTTTTAAATATTAAAAGTACCCAAAAAAAGGATTGCCCATCACAGGAGTCGAACCTGTTGCCTCCTCATTACCGCGTATTGCTCCTGTGAAGATATAACTCCTTAAGAGCTTAGCTGATTGGGGGTAATACTAGTGAGGCGCTCTACCGGTGAGCTAGACGGGCATATTGTAAAGCTGGTCCACTTGCTAACGAGCTAGGATCTTTAGCTGCTGTGGATGAAAGGTTTGTTTGCTACAAACCATTATCAACCCTTTGTGAATTTATATTGGCATTACAAATAGTGTCTAGGTAGGTATCTAAGATATAGATATGGTCCTGCCTTTATATCCACCCCCCTCGGAATACTATACATACCTTATAAGCCTATACCTACTATCCAGACTTGTGTTGTCCATATAATTATTATACTCCCGCAGTCATATCATGTTGAAATCTACACGTGCGTTGAACCGGATTCGACTCCCTTAAATCAGCTCTATCCTTAGCGATAAAGCGGCTCTTACAAGATTACTCTAGACTATGTAAGGATGGCAATGATTTTATCGTCGGAAAAGGTATTCTTAATCGGTCAAGTCATACCTCCGCGGTGTAAACGGACTGATCACGCTTACAATTCCCACCCTTTATCGTCCGAATTGTTGCAACGAATAGACATATCTCTTTATCCCTCGACCGTCTTTGTTCTAGCTAGGCACTATACGACTCAAAATGCCGCCCTTCACTACCCAGTGTAACGTAGTCATGTCTATTGACGTTGTTTAAGGATAGTTGAATAACTAATATTGGCAACGTGACTTTTGTTCAATACCGAGCTTTCTCCTAGACGAATGCATAGTCTATACGCAACTAGACGAGAGGAGATTTAGGCCTTTGATTACTAGGCCGGATTCGTGTAACCAGTAGCAAATAAATATGATATATCACCGGGGATAAGGTCCAGAGCCTAGTGCAACATGTCTTTGACCCTGCTCCATGGGTGGGCATCGGATTAAAGCGAGGTGTAACGGCAGTTGCATAGCCTCCAAGATATTATGTCACCGTACAGGCCTCTGCATGGTCGTTATAATCCCGAGTATCAGTTGCACACCATCCCATGTAGACGTAGCATGGATGTACGCCCTGTTATTCGGGGGGTTACCTAGCTCGTCAATGGAGGAAAATAGTTGGCAGGTATCACTATAAACTGAGAGTGCAGCTATCATGCATACATGTCTCGCATAGGTTCGAGACGCCGATAGATCTATCACCGCCACTGTGATACAGTCGTGGCCGGATATCTAGCTGGGCGTGGGGGCTTATTTTTAATACTATACCGATTAGCTCCCTAGGTAACTTAATATGCAGACCGCTCTTTCATTTACATCGTAGGGCGAACCATATGCGCCGTCTATACTGGGCTATATCCTGCATATTTCGTAGTAACACTTTAGCATTGTCCAATAACATCAACATGCTCATATAACCGTAAGGGCTTTGTGAGAATGAGGCTATCAATTCTACGGGAGCACAACTCTGAGGGTGTAATTCGTGAGAGATATCCACAGACATAACCTTGTATCTTACGAAGTAGGCGATGTAAGGGCTCTCGTGGGGAGAAGAACTGCTAGGTATCCTCCATAAGATGACCGCGTAGGTTCATCACGATGACGATCCGTAATCATAGGTAACGGAGCGGAGTCAAATATATCCAGACCATCTTTTCTTTCATAGGCTCGCCGTATAGTTCCGGCTTGAGTGTTCGAGGCGTGCGTAACAATAACCGGGGCTCGATATTGGCTCTCGAGCTTGAGTGGTGGAGGGCACGATGTTCGAATTGGCCAGAAAGGAAGATCACGGCTTATTTGTTGCAGCGTGAGATGTGATTTTCTCCAATTTCCCCTCGCCGAGTGCAGCAGTCGAATGTAACAAGAGAAGATTTCCGCATCTAAAGTAATACAGGGAGGATCGTCTAGTGATAAGTTTCATCGGCAGTTCGACGTCGTGGTAGCTGAAGCGCTCAGCTATTTGTCACCGGTTGAATTTGCCTCGATCAACGTCCAAGCAATCTCTCGGCTCGCCCGGCACAAGACCATAGGAATAGAAATACTGGAGATTTAACCCCAGATTGACCTGCTGCGCTCGTCACTGTTGGAGGATTGTGATAACTCGGGGGCTAATGGGAAGTCCTAGCCAAGCTGAGGTCAAGAGTCCTCTAACCCTATAAACGCGTACTATGTTGGTCAGCCACAACATCAACATAGAACGCTAAGGTACTGCAGGGTGACTATTGGTGCAAGCTACTCATGCAAGGTGCTCCCTTCGGATAGACCCAACGAAGTAAAACGAACTATAATATCGAAAACTGCGGGGAAGCATGGGGTGCATACATACAGATTGTCGGGTATTTGACCTCACGGTAGCTTTCACCCCGCATTATACGTTCGTCTTGCATACGAGCTGCATCTACTAGTGGCCAATGAATATGCAGATATATGCAGAATTGCCTGGTAGAACCAGGAGGCAGGACCAGGAGGCAGGGGTAGGACGACCACAAGGCTGTGAAAGCCAACTCTCCGAGCCTCACCGAGGGCCCGCTGGCCGCTAGTTGGCGGCATCACGTCTTGCCTTTCCTTATACGTCGATTTAGACATCTATCACCATATACGAGTTGGAGAGGTGACGTGGGTAGTCTAAATCAGAAACCCGATGTAAGGTATCCCGGAGGCCTAGAGAGTAATTAGAACCGGGTTGTTTCGTGCTTGGACGAATGTGACCCTTCCTGCGCTGCAGGCGAGTGCTCTCTTGGGAATCTATTCCCCTTCCATCCGACCAGTTTCTCCTTACGATTGGGACCCATGCATAGATGTTACATCACGAAATATCAGATGACCTCTACGAGGCATGAGTTGGCAAACATGTCGAATAGTTGCCGGGAAAGGGGGGTTGTTGGAGGATATAGCTGGTAATCAAGCTTGGACGCATGGCCTAGATAGTAAGAAGGGGGACTATTAGCCACTTTGTACGAGTTATTCAAGTGCAGGGGTTCCCCCTCTTCTAACGGATATTTGGATCCTGCTCGCCCAGCTTTTGAGAGAGCATAAGAACGCAATCGTCACCCTCCAGCGAAGTTGTCCAACATGTTCTCTAAGATTTTCGGCTGGGATCAAAAACAACAAGAAGCAGATATGAGTCCCCTACCTGAGGAATTCGATATTATCGTTTGCGGTGGTGGGAGTTGTGGATGTGTAGTGGCTGGTCGGTACGTTCTTCTAAAGATCTATCCGCAAGGGCTTTACCTATATACTCATTCCGTATAGTCTGGCAAATTTGGATCATAATCTTAAAGTCCTTCTGATCGAGGCCGGAGAGACTAACCTCAACAACCCATGGATCTTCAGGCCAGGGGTCTACCCCCGGAACATGAAGCTGGACTCGAAAACGGCATCCTTCTATGAATCTCGCCCATCTAAGTGGCTCTCCGGCAGAAAAGCTGTAGTTCCGTGCGCCCACGTTTTGGGAGGAGGTTCCAGTATCAACTTCTTGGTATGTGAAAGACCCTAAGCGAAAGTCACTTGGCGCTAAAACTTTGTAGATGTACACGCGCGCTTCAGCTAGTGACTACGATGACTTCCAGGCCAAGGGATGGACTACTAAGGAACTCCTTCCGCTCATGAAGAAACATGAGACCTATCAACGAGCTTGCCATAACAAGTAAGCAAAAGAAAGTCGAAGGCATCTAGAGATACTAATAGCCAAAGGGATCTCCATGGATTCGAAGGGCCGATCAAGGTTTCATTCGGCAATTAGTAGGTTAACAGTCGTAGCTCGAGTTCGAATGCTCAAGAAACTAATTACCATAAGCACGTATCCAGTAAAGGAGGACTTCCTTAGGGCAGCAGAATCTCAAGGTATCCCCGTCGTCGATGATTTGCAAGACTTAAGTACCGGCCACGGCGCCGAACACTGGCTGAAGTGGATTAATCGCGACGTACGACCCCTTGCCCCTATTCACCTCTGTTTCACAACTGACTGTTCGTGGATGTAGACCGGCCGACGTAGCGACAGCGCCCACGCATACGTTCATTCGACTCGCGCCGTCCATGATAATCTCTATCTAGCTTGTAATACCAAGGTAGATAAGATTATCATTGAGAACGGTAGGGCCGTAGCTGTTCAGACAGTGTAAGGCCGATCGAACGTCGAGCTATATGCAGACCGCTAATTTGTATCAAGGCCAACCAAGCCGCTTCACCCCAGTCAACTAAAGACTCGCACCTTCAGAGCCCGAAAGCAGATCGTCGTGTCCGGAGGCACGCTTTCTTCCCCGCTAATCCTCCAACGATCCGGCATCGGTATGCTTCTGTAGTTAGATTGCGAACCCACAAGTGCTAACAATTCACAGGCGACCCCGATAAGCTAAAGAAAGCTGGAGTTGAGCCTATTGTCAACCTGCCCGGTGTGGGCCTCAACTTCCAAGATCACTATCTGACCTTCTCCGTATACCGCGCGAAACCCGAGACGGAAAGCTTCGATGATTTCGTTCGAGGTGTACCTGAAGTACAGAAGGGTAAGAGCAGCAGCATTGTATCCTATCAGTCGTGATGTTAATAGGTCTCCAGCGGTATTTGATGAATGGGCGGCGAAGGGAACCGGGCCACTTGCTACCAACGGTATCGATGCTGGCGTGAAGATTCGCCCAACGGAAGAGGAACTTAAGGAGTTCGAGTCTTGGCCTACCCCACAATTTAACGAGGGCTGGAAGTCATATTTCAAGAACAAGCCGGATAAGCCGGTGATGCACTATTCCATCATCGCTGGTTGGTTTGGTGATCACATGCTACTCCCACCCGGTAAATTCTTTTCCATGTTTCACTTTCTCGAGTATCCATTCTCGCGAGGATTCACCCATATAAAGTCTGCCGACCCCTACGAGGCTCCAGACTTTGACCCGGGTTTCATGAACGACGAGCGCGACATGGCACCGATGGTATGGGGTTATATTAAGAGCAGAGAGACGGCGCGTCGCATGGAAGCCTACGCCGGAGAGGTCCAGGCGATGCACCCTTTCTTTGACTATGACTCTCCAGCCAAAGCCAACGATATGGATCTCGAGACCACTCGACGTTACGCCCTCCCCGGTAATCTAAGCGCCGGCTTGCAACATGGTAGCTGGAGTACTTATAACCCCGAGCCGTCCAGGAGACCGGAAGCCAACATCCTAAACAGCAACAAGGCGGACATCCGAGACGAGCTCAAGTATAGCAAGAAAGATATCGAGGCCGTCGAGGAGTGGGTTAGGAGGCACGTAGAGAGCACGTGGCATTGCCTAGGTGTAAGTAATTACTACCATATATATTTTAGGAGCTCCATCTATACTTACATTTCGCACTAGACCTGCTCTATGGCCCCGAAGGAGGGCAACAGCATCGTTAAGCACGGTGTCCTAGACGAGCGCTTGAACGTCCACGGCGTCCAGGGCCTCAAGGTGGCAGATCTTAGTATATGTCCCGACAACGTTGGTTGCAATACGTAAGTTAAACATCATATCCAGTATACCTTTCGTTGCCCCCTAACACGATGCAGATACTCTACCGCTCTTCTTATTGGCGAGAAGGCAGCAACGCTAGTTGCCGAAGACCTCGGATATTCCGGCGAAGCGCTCGACATGAAAGTCCCGACCTATAACGCGCCGGGCGAACTGGTACTTCCGTACCGCGTGTAAACATATTAGGTATCTAACTGTTATGATTTCTTCATGTCGGAGTTTATGTAATGTTTGGGTATGATTATGAACTTTGAACCAGATTGACAGCTCTTGGTTAAACTCGGGACAACTCATCTGTTTCTGCAATATTATGTTTTTAGTAGTAATTAACAGCTAGTTAATGAATGTAACATACATACGTTAAATGTTTCCTATGATATGAGGTTTGTCCCATCGACGCGAAAAGGAATAATAAGGGTCCAAGACCCCATAACGAACCAAAGCATTGGATCGGACACTGTTTCTCTAGTTTATATAGTTTATATACTGTATAGAGCACACTGTGTTTTTTTTTTAAGGTTCGTATTATGTTTTTATTGGCTTAAAGATATTCCTTAGTCTTACCTGATTCCTTTAATTATTGCACAACGCCTAAAGGACGCGAAGATGCGATAGCTACCTCCTAGCACCGGGCACTAATACGTAGAACGCCAACCGCCTCACGACGATCTACACAATTTCCTTCCTCGTCTTTATCTTATAATATCGTCCTCAATCAGCCACTCCGTCCTTGCATGAGACTAATCCAAGCATCTGCATATGTAGCATTACGGATTACACATTTGGAGTACCTACATGAGAGCTTAGACGCATGTACGAAGTTGACCGGTTGTGCTTTGAAGATAAGCCTGGTGTAACGGAATCCGCAGTCTTTTATTTAAGACGGGTAGAGATTCGACGAGGACTCGACGGACTCAATAGTCCCTATATCCATTAAGAATTACAGCCAATTGATTATTCAAGACTTGGCATTTCACAATGGCGTCTAATAACGACGATGGGAATGACAGGAATGACACCCATTCCGTCTCTCCCGATTCCGCCAGTGAGACGACTCCGCTTCTAATGGTGTCGCCCGTTGCGACGATAAGCGGAAGCGATACGCTGGCCGCGGAGGACGGCGAGTCTTGCAGACTTCTCGGCAGGCCCGAGGACAAGCCACTACCTAAGCTTCAGATTTTCCTGCTCTGTTATGCGCGCCTTGTCGAGCCTATCGCATTCTTCTCCATCTTCCCGTACATCAACCAGATGGTTCAAGAGAATGGCCACTGTATGTTCCTATCGTCGTTCTCATTCTCGTCTTCCTACTACACCATAAGGTAAATAAATAATGGGGTAAATGCTAACATAACAACGCAGTGAACGAAGAAGACGTGGGCTTCTACGGCGGACTGATCGAGTCCCTCTTCTCGCTCACGCAGATGGTTGTGATGATATTCTGGGGGCGAGCAGCCGATCGCTGGGGCCGCAAACCCGTACTCGTATCGTCCTTGCTCGGCGTTGCTATTTCGGTCTCCCTGTTCGGGCTTGCGCGCTCTATCTGGCAGATGGTTGTGCTACGGTGTCTAGCCGGAATCTTCGCCGGTACCGTTGTCACTATTCGCACTATGATCGCCGAGCACAGCACCCCGCACACCCAAGCTCGCGCCTTTAGCTGGTTCGCCTTCACCAGCAATGTCGGCATCTTCCTCGGTCCTCTCATCGGCGGCGCGCTCGCGGACCCCGCGCATCAGTACCCCTGGGCGTTTAGTGGCGTGCCGTTTTTCGAGGAGTACCCCTACGCGCTATCATCTATTGTCGTCGGATGTATCGGCTTGACGGCTGTATTTACCAGCGCGTTGTACATCGAAGAGACATTGGATCGGAGCAAGGTCCCGAGTGTAGACTCTAGCGATGGCGAAGCAGGCGCAGCGCCCAAACCGGAATCAACCTCTACACTACATCTCCTTAAAGCCCCTGGTGTCGGTATCGTGCTGTACAATTACGGACACGCGATGCTCCTTGGATTCGCGTACACTGCGATCGTTCCCGTATTCTGGTACACGTCTGTAGAACACGGCGGCTTTAGTTTTACCCCCTTGCAAATTTCTCTATGCATGGGTCTAACCGGAGTATCCCAAGCATTGTGGCTCCTCTTAGTATTCCCGCCTCTGCAGCGTCGATACGGAACCAACGGTGTTCTACGCGCCTGTGGTATCGCATACCCGTTCTTCATCGGTGCTATGCCGTTCTTAAACCTCATTCTGTATCAAGGAACTCCCGCCTCCAACACTGCGTTCTGGATCATAGTCTATGTCACGCTAGCGCTCGGCCCGGGTGTTAGCATGGCCTTCACAGGGGTTCAGCTTGCGCTAAATGACGTGTCGCCATCTCCAGCGACTCTAGGCACGCTCAATGCCCTGGCGCTTACCATCACGAGTGGTCTTCGCGCATTTTCCCCTTTGTTTTTTACTAGTCTATTTGCTATTAGCGCAAAGTACGAACTTGTTTGGGGATATCTCGTATGGTTGATCTTGACTGTTATTGCTGTTGCTTTTACTGTCTCGACGAGGTTCTTGCCGGCAGCTAGCGAGAAGGACTACGACCGCGAGGTGCTACTGGGGCGAGATGTGGACGACGATAATTAAGATAAAACCACCTGATAGCGAGAGAGCGTCGAAATAGGTTAGCGTTTGTTCACTTTGATTGACATAAGAGCCGGGATATGTAAGATAGAAAACATCAAGAACTACCAATCAAGGGTAGTAACTATTCAAAGCTGATTATTATTTAGAATTACGTCGTTAACGAATTAGAATAATCCCGAGTAGTTGATATGTGGTTAAGAAAACTAAATTTAGAGACCGAATAACCTGACGTAGACAATTGTGAAGGCCGGTAGAAATATAGACGCCTCATGACAGGGTCTGCTGCTAGAACTGAAGCTCCGTAGAGTAATTGTATTCATGAGATGTATTCATATGACGCGTTCGATCCAAACAATCGTATAAATCCGGAACGCCACCCAATGCAATTGCGCTTCTGATGCATCCCTCTATTCTATGTGACCACTTAATCCCTATTCCGATTGCTGAGCCATCTTCTTACGATGAACTCCCGGACTCTATACCGTTTCAAGACCTCCGCCGCTCCGAGCCCTTCTTCAAACGGAGGCGGTATGTCTACATATGCAAGAACCAGGGTCTTCAGGGCTGTAGCCTGAACACGATTGATGGTATGAAGCCAGTGCCAAGACCTCCGAGGAGGCTGACGGCCCTGGGCCCTCCACCAAGGATCGGTGTACGCTGGTAAAACAATGACAGCAAACTCGGCATGAGAAAATACCGGACCACGGTTATATAACATCCAATCAACACCAAATTTGATACCAGGCCGCGTCACCCAGCCCAAAGAACGAAAATGGTGGTACACGGCATAATGAATAAGAAAGGGATCATCCGGCTGAAGATCTATCATCCTCGGAGGTATGTACGAGACCTGGCGACAAAGCGCAAACAGATCTAGAGCCGTGATGGGTTTACCAGTAGCTGGATCTAAGACACTCAAAGCCCCCAGAGCAAAGACGAGGTAGAAAGCCTCTTCCGGACATAACTGAAGGTGTTCCTTATCTACAAGTTCGAGTTCCGACTCAGAACTAGTCTTAACAGTCGTCTCATGTTCAAGGACAGGCTGTGATAGACCCAAGTCTGTCGGCCGAGCTAATGGGGAAGCCGCGTTTGATATACTGCCGTTAGGCGTGTTCCCATTTGGTAAAGTGCCATGATGGGGGCTCGGCGGATCAAACAGCTGAAAAGTTGTCGACTCCACCTTGGGCGAAAATCGCACCGACTTGCGTCTTTTGGGGGGGTTGGTTGGAGTGTGCGGCCGTGAAGAGTGACCATTCATCCCGGATGAAGCCGCTGCTGTTTCCTTCTCGGCCGTGGTTGTCCTATCGGCGTCTTTCGTCGTGGCGGTATCTAATGATAATGAGACGCCATCTGCGGCTCCATTTGCGGTCTCGACGACGCTCCTGGTACCATTCATGATGGGAATCCGCGCCAAACCTTCGCTTATTGAACCGTTAAGGTATATGGGTTTCAGATCAAGCTGAGAATTTGGAAGAGCCAACAACTCAGCGGGCCCAACTGGAGCCACCCATGCTTCTAGCTGTCTGGTCCGTTCGATTGCTTCCTGCTCTTTCCTGGCACGATCCCACTTCATCAACTTGCGCTCTTCTCGCCTCTGGGCGGTTACAGCTTCAGCAACATGGCCATTATGTTCACCCCTCCGAGCCTGTTCTCGCTTGAGCCAATTCGGCTCGCTCCTACTGTAATTGCCTTTACCGAAGAACCCCTGCTCCCATAATGCTCGTATAGACTTGGGGTCCTTGATATGGACTGATCGAGTCTCCGCGGACCAGACGCCTTGATGAATTAAAGTAGGCTCAGTCGGCGGCGGGGACACGAGTTGGCTCACCCATGCGTATACCACGTGAAAAAGGGACAGCGGATTACTTGGATAAAAGGTTGGTAACGGAAAAGTACGGATAGGCGCAGGGAGCGCATAAATCTCATGAAGTGGGGGTCCTTTTGGTACAGCAGAACGAGGCTTAGGCTTCACTTGGGGAGATGGGTCCGAATTCACAGAAGTTGAAGAGGTATCATGTAGGTTCGGGGTGGTGGACACGGTACTGGGTGTGTCTGCCATGGTTATTGCTCATCATGTCGACCTACTTTGATAGCTGTCAGCCGAATGTCATTTCACATCGCAGCTTTCGAATTCGCATTACAAAGAGGCAAGGTTGAAACGTCCAAAGGCAGAAAAAATAAATTCAAATAAATAAATAATATGATATAATCGCTCAGATACCGTTGTAGTCTATATTGGGACACTCATCGAGACTTTTTGAAGGTCTCTAAGCACCGAATAAAAAGGTGTCATCACCGCGATAAAATATAACAAAGGAAATTCTTCTACTTTCAGGATCGGAGTCTATATGATACCAACTGCGCTGATAGAAGTTTCGAAGCTACTTACATGATTTATTAATGTCTACCTCTACCTTTGATAGAGTAGGCCATTCATCACTCGTCAAGCTATCCTGACCGAGCTCTGTGTTCTTGCGATTGAGGTAAAACGAGTCAACCTTTTTGTAAATTTACAAAAGTGTGAGTTGAAGGTTGAAAGATTTGTTAGCGGGATACGCAAACAATAAAAATAATAAAATGGTCGGTCCCGGCTAGGTAGTCCAATTGGATTGTCGGGCCGGTATTATCCGCGGATCCGCTAGTCCGTTGAACGTTTAGCACGTGTGGTTGCCCGTGCTCTAGTCGATAGAGGTACATGTACTGTACATGTGCCCGACAGATTGGATTAGGTGTCGCAGATTAGATAGGTCCGTGCCTTCCCGGCTTTCGAGCGAAAGGCCGCAAAAGCAAGTGACGATCCTCTGCGGCTGTCATCGTCTTTGATCACCTGCAATTTTGGTTTAAATTTTTTTCTCATTAGCGGGACCTCAGGTTCTTGGAGGATCCATCAACAATGCCGGGTGGACCGGACCGCGTTTATGTTCCTAAGTCGTAAAACAATACCATTACCATTAAGCATTCGATATCTGTTCGTCATTAGCCCCGATATGGATGGAACACTCTATATTAATTCCTTCTCCTTGCGTCCCGTTAGATCTCGTTGATATTGTCCTAGGACGTCCCCCTTGAACACTCGGTCTTTTGATGTTTTCTTCTTCTTTTTAATTATCTAATTATTTGACGACCTTCTCCTCTTCATCCTGATATGTTCCAATGCCCTCATATATTGTTCAGGCGTTAGGTAGCGCCGGCATCATATGGGGCTTCACCATCGTTTTGGTTCAAAGCATTGGTCTCTATAAAATGTAAGAATTCTTATACGTTCTCCATCCATTCTCCTGATCTATCAAGTTATGTTTCTAACTCCGATCTCAAACAGCTTCCGCTACTACTCGTCAGTCCCCGCCGCCCCGGTGTCTCCATACCTACCGAAAGATGAGGTGCCGCACATAACTATCATCCGGCCTGCCAAGGGTCTAGAACCTGGATTGTACGAATGTCTCGCCTCCGTATTCCACCAGTCCTATCCGAAAGACAAGTTGACCATCTACTTCTGCGTCTCTTCCAAGGAAGATGCCGCGTACCCCGTCATCCGTAAGCTCCTCGATAATCACTCCGATTTCGATGCCAAGGTTTTCGTCGAAACCGAAGACCCTTACCTCCACGGTGACGGCGGCCACGTCGATAATGTTGGTCCGAACCCCAAGATTCGCAATCTGAGTAGGGCGTATAGGGAAGCGAAAGGGGATATAATATGGCCTCTCGACTGCAACGTGTGGATAGCAAGGGATGTAGCTGGTCGTATGGTCGACAAGCTCTGCGGATACCAACCAAACGGCAAGCGAGCGAAACCTTTCAAGTTCGTCCACCAACTACCTTTAGTAGTAGATACTGTTACCTCCATGAGCTCTTCAAACTCCGAAGGCCAGACTCTACTGTCCGGATCTTCAGTGACTGGCGGCTCCGATGCGCAGTCCAGCGTCGACGTGCCGTCCTCCGTTTTGTCTAGGTCCTGGGCTCACGGAGGCGGAAGATTGGAGGAGATGTTTATGGCTACGACCCACGCTAAGTTCTATGGCGCTATCAATACCGTTGGTATTGCGCCTTGCATTGTTGGGAAGAGTAACATGTTCCGCAAGTCGCATCTCGATCAGGTCACAGATCCAGCCCAAAACCCGATCCTGACGGGCAGAGCCGCAACTCTGCCCAAGGGCCTAGATCATTTTTCTCTCTTCATGTGCGAGGACCATGTCATTGGTGACCTTCTATGGCGTTCCAACCTGCCCGGCTTCGCAAATCATGGTCTTGTTTGGGGCGACCTCGCGATCCAGCCTATGGCGGGAATGTCAGTGCCCGCTTACGTCGCACGCAGGGTGAGATGGTTGCGTGCTAGGAAATGGACCGTATTATCAGCTACTCTAGTCGAGCACGGCGTCGAGAGCCTCGTGTGCTGCTTCTACGTGTCCTTCGGTCTCACTAGCGTCCCTTGGTTCCACCAGACTCTTGGCATCCCACAAACTTGGAAGGCTCTGTGGCAGCTCTGGCTCGCTGGCGTCGCGCTCTGGGTGGTTGTAGACCGTATCGTATTCAGGAAGTTGCATGCAGGACACAGCATACACGTGGACGAACAGACGCCATTATTTGCCCGGGGCACGAGCCGCGGCGGAGCTGAAAAGCGCCGATTCGGCGAGTGGTTCCTGGCTTGGTTAGGGCGGGAGGTCCTGGCCCTCCCTATCTGGACGTGGGCCGTCTTCCTCGGTGCCACCGTGAATTGGAGGGGCAAGCAATTTCGGGTCCGATCAGATATGACGGTCGTTTCGATAGACTCGGAGCCTGAGGAGCGGGCTTCGGCGCAGAATGGGCATGGCGCCAATGGCATGTCGAGAACGAGAGGGAAGAAAGATTAGACCTAAGATACCCCAGCATTTATTAACACCTAATATATAATTCATCACGTCAACCGCATCGCTGGGTCCAATTGGCATCTTGACAGGTATTTATGTCGTGTTTCCTAACTAGATTTTTCCGACGTAGCCGATCTAGCCCAAAGACAGCCTTACACAAGGTATACTCGGTTCACACCTAGACTACTTGCTTCGTATGCCGGAATGCTCTCCTAGGCGTCCTTAATAACGTTCATATCCCGGGGATGCAGACCGTAGATTAAGATTGACCTACCTTGCGAATTTTGCAAGTAGCATACCTTGGA